CACGATTGGTTCAGCCAGACTCTTATATCGTGAGACAAATGATTAACTGTTCATTTATGCAAAAATATCTCGTTTCATCAGGAATCAGGAATAACTTGTTTATTTCGAGGGCTAGGAAAGAAACCCGACAGTGTTTGTAGGACAATAAACCCACAAGAGTCGTTTATGTTTTCTATGTTTTGACTATATATATTCTGCCGCTTTTTGCGTCTCCATCGCCGATATTTTCTAAGAAATAAAAACCTTGTAAGTCCACTTCAAGCACTTTATTTTCTTGCGCGAGATCAAAGCGAGCAGTCCCAAGCGGGCAAGATGGGCCCAACTTGCCCACTCGTGGAGCTAACCGGAACGCAGGTTTCTCGTCTCAATTCCTACCTTCACTGCTAGCGATATAATAATAAGTACTATTTGCATGAAACTTTTTACCCTTTTTATCAACGCAAGGTTCACATCTGCTAATGTTTTTAAACTACGCATGTTATCTCTGATTTTAGACTTTAGTTCAATTTGTCCATCACAGTCATGTGTTCTGCTATCTCGCGTAAACAGAGAACAGGTTTTACACAGCGAGTTTGAAAAAGCTAGCTTTCTACGAACACCTTGAATATTTTCTTTTGCATTATCTTTATTCTTTTTCTTTCACTCTTTTTTTTTCCAAATAAAGTGCTTACACCATTAACTGCCCAACGACAGTCAGTTTGTTATCAAACCCTTTTTGTAACGCGTGTACTCGTCACAATCAAAGAAGCGAAAAATGAAAACGTTAATCAGTTCAAGACTTGAATTCTTCACCCCTTTCTTTGACCGAGAAAAGACTAGAACCGGAGTGAACTTTAAACGCTTGAATAAGTGACTGTATCACTAACCTCTATGAGTTACTGTATATATTGTATATAACAGAGGATTTTTTCTTATGAGTATCGACTGCACAAAAAATTACGGAGAATGCCCCCTTTCATTCGCTCTAAAAGCTCCATTATAATCTCCCCTTTCTTCCACTGTCAGGAGATCTCATTTTAACGATCAACCRTTTTGCGTTAAAAAAAATACGTGGTCTTCGCGCATTTAAGTATGTTGTTTGTTTATTCCTTATTTGTGTAAATTGCTCCGTTCCTTTGTTCCAATTCTTAATTCAGCTCTAAAGAGAAATAACTTACCTTTTCTTGAAAAACTGCGAAAAAAGTTGTTAGAGACGGTTGATTGCTCTTTTTTTTTTTTTTTAAGCTTGACTTGTAGTGCAACAAACATTTAAGCACATGCATGCACCAGATTTAAAATCAGATAAAAAGCACTTCCAGCGATGGCTTTTCTTATGATGTTTTTCATCTTTCACACAGGCCACATTTGATTGATACCATGCCCAGAAATACTATTATAATAGAATGTATCTGAAAACTTAAGAAGCCAAAAAACTCAAAAGTTAAATTTAGCAGTGGAGTAAGAGACTCTGGTACCTCACTCAATCAAGTTTCACAAATGATACAAGTAGACATTTTGCTTATTGTTTGTGTTTTTCCTTGCCACTTGGGGACTCTGAACAATACTACACAACTTGAAAACTATCTGCAAGTATTATAATATGTGAAACCATGGAATAAGGTGTACATGTCTAGAATAAGAATAAGATTTATGTACAGTATGATATATAGTCATGAATCTGCACCAATCATTTTAATTTGCTTCTTTGATAAAGTATCAAGTTTCTCAGCCTTTATTATTTTTAATTATTCTTAGGTGTTTGCGTATCAATATTTCTCTCCAATTTTTTTGTATTGTAGCGCTTGAGAACAAGGAGCCAAATACGAAATTTTTTTTCAATTGTCTGGCTTTGGCTCAGGTAACTCAGGAAAAACTGACATTATTTTTCTTTAGAAGAATTGAGCCAATTGTGTTTTTTTTTACTAGTACTAAACAAGTGTTATATTTTGATAGCTTTCCTCCAATTGTCCCTTTCCTTTTATCACCAACCATGAACTTTCCCCTTTGTTCCTGGTTTTGCTGATTACATGTTTAAAAATTCCATGGCCACATGATTGTTCCCAGCTTAGCATCTATACACTGTACCTTGCCAAAACTCAGAGGCTTAGGATTGTCTTTCCCTTTCTCTCCTTTCCCCAACCCTCTAAGGGTTTTTTTCTGGCTTTCCCCCTCTATCCTCTTTCCCATCCCCCTTCCCTTCTCCCTCTCCCCTTGGGATTGTCAGTTCCCCCCTTGCCCTCCCATTTTCCCCCTCTATCTCCTCCCCCTTATAATCTCTCCCCCCCTCCAAGATTGATATGGTTAGTTCACTTGTCCCCCCATACCCCTTTTCAAGAACTAAACTGATGGATAAGATGGTAATCTCTGCAATACATGTTTCTGCTCAATAGTGTGTATTATTATTTAATCCACTAAAACAGTGGATAGTGTTTAAGGTGCACTCTGATTGGCAACTCAAACTCCAGATATCCTTTGTTATTCACTTAGCAACTCAGGCAGGATTTACACCAGAAAATATAATAGTTGCAAGAATAAATGACAGAGCAACATGTAAAATTATCTTTTTGAACTGTATTATCTTTTAAATTAGTTAATGTAATACTTTATACTTCAACCACTTACCTCAATGTCAGTTGCTGGTGGTAGATAATTATAACATTTACCTTGCTGCTTCACTGCTTCTAAAAACACCAAGTACCTTATAATTATGAAGTCTAAAATAAATATTATGTTGTTCTCTAACTCCTTGCTGATCATTACGATTTCTAGAAAGATGCCAGTCCTACTAAACCAACGCCTCACAAACCTTCATCAGGGATCATAGTAACAGTGTAAGCTCAAATATTTTTAAGAATCAAAAACATTTTCTCAATAATAAAATATTTCAGAAATATGTAGTGTTTAAGGTTACCCAAGTCAGTTTTATGCTGAAAGTCTCATGGGAATACTGGGGATTGCACAGTAGGGAGAGTCCTTGCCTCCCACTGCTTTGGCCTGGGTTTAATTCCAAGAGCTGGCATCACATGTAGGTTCAGTTTGTTGTTGGTTCTCATCCTTGGTTCAGTGGTTTTTCTCCTGGTCCTCCGGTTTTCCTCCTTTCCACATAAACCAACGTTACAAATTCCAATTCGACCAGGAAACAGAGGACAAGAAGAGCCACCACATTGAATAACCACTGCTAAAATGCCATTGTTATAATTATAGTTGCTTTTCTTATTTAATTCCCACCATGCACTACAAGTATGAAAATTAATTGAAAACCAAAACTACTTCATAATGGGCCTTGCTCACTATGGAGTTTCTGTGGCTCAGTGATAGAGCATTGGAGCACGGAATCCGAAAGTTTGAGGTTCGATTCCTCATGGGAAATCAGAATTTTTCCTTTGTTCTACACTTGTGACAAGAGGAAAAACTTCTTACTCTATTCCTTTACCCAACTCAAAACTTACCATCTTTCTTATTCTATTTACAAAATTACTTCTTTCAGTCTTTGAAAATTACATATTAATTAAACTATTATAATTAATTTCTGATTTGCTTTTTCAGGAATGAGCCCCAGCATGGCTTTTCAAGAGTCAAAGTGGACAGCATGAATGCTAAGATGAAACAAGTATATGAAAAAATGGTTAAGAAGAGAGGATTACGAAGAACAGGTTTGAAAATATACATGACTTTATATAATAATANGTATTGTATGTATTTGTATTGTATGTATGTATTTATGAATATTTATACAGGGTAGCCCAGTTCAGCTAAGGCTTGTTTAAATGGGGCCCTGTCACACCCACCCATTCCACCCCAGGGGAGGACATCCACCACACAGTAATCTCGTGCAAGGCTCGAACCCTCGACCTCCTGCTCAACACAATCCGGCGCTCTAACCAATTGAGCTAACCGGGGGGTGGTTATGTTAATAGGGTTAAGTTATGGTAAACTGATTGAAAAACAGCGGTTAGATAAATTTTCGTTCCTCTCCACCCCTCTAAAAAAATCCACATTCCAAATTAGTAGTGAAATTCAAATTGAAAGTGGTCAGAGAATAAATTGATTAGCGATGGGTTCAAAAAAGAATTCAGATGTAAAGGAACATGAGACAAAAAATCAAAACAAAACAAACAAATGAAAGAATCTAAGAGCAATGATGGATGGGCAAAATTTCCTTTTGCAAAACAAATTTTTCTTTGTAAGGTACCGCAAATCGTCCATATAATGTTAATCACTGTAGAGAATCAATTGATTTAAACCAACTTTCAAGAGCTCATAGAGACATTAATCACTGTCATAATATCCAAAATTAGCGTGTTACCAGGACAGTAAAATAAATAATAATATCAAGAAGATATAATTCTATCGCTGGTTCTCTCAGTGGAAACACCCTTACCCTACTGAATCCAAACTGAGACCATGATCGTTCCCTTCAAAGCTTCCAGTGTTGCTCTATATGCTAATGAAGTACCAATTCGATTCGTTTCAAGAGCTTTCCTCTTCTCTTTTTTCCTTTTTCTCCCCTTCACCCAGGCCCTCTCTTGGCTCAGCATGAGGGAGACAAAAAAAGGGACCCTAGAAACAAGTTTGATTATCTTTACGACCTCAGGTCAATATTCCCCAATACGCCCTTTGTCCTCGGTTAGTGAGAAGCTCTTAGCGCCCATAGCTTTTAAACAATTATCCCAGAAGTGGATTTCAATAAAAAAAACAAAAAACTAAGCGTTACCCCGGAACAAATAGTAGAAAATCAGTCAACGAGAGCGAACCGAATATATGGGTATTATTGACCAAGTGTGAGGTCAAGATGGTGAGATATTGGCTGAGTTCCTTTTTTGCCTTTTTATGGACCGAGACGAAGTCGAGGTCCATCAAAACGGAAAAAAAGGACGGGGGGAATATCCAGCCATTCTGACCGGACAAGCTTTTTCAATTAAAGGATTTCTTACATAGCGAGGAGATTTCGCTTTTATAAGAATCGAGAATAACTTGTTAATTTCGAGAGCCGGGAAAGAATGGCAACTGTGTTTGTAACACAATAAACCCACGAGGGTCGTTTATGTTTTCTTTGCTCTGACTGCCGCTTTTTGTGACTTAATCGCAGACATTGTCCAAAATTTAAAGCTACGAACTTTGTAAGTCCGCTCAATGCACTTTTTTCCTTGCGCGGAATCAAAGCGGGTAGTTCAGGGTGGATGGCCCATCCATCTGTTCAAATAACAACTATAACATGATTTACCACTTTATACCTGCACGATCCGGTGAAAGAATGGAAACTGCCATGAACTGAGTGTATTTGTCAAAGTTCTTTAATGGAAAGTGAATAGCCTGAAAAAAAAAAAGCTTCTGAAACTTTTAAAAGGTTCACGCATAATCAATTAGCCCACGTGGATAGGCCGAAGTTATTTCGTTGCTAACGGAAATCGAGGGAAGGAAGTGGTAAATGGCTGGTTGAATCGTTTTAGGCGGGGTTGTTTTGTAAAATGAGTTGTCTTTTTTCTCACTGACGTGGCGCGTAATCTTCTTTATACCCGAAGACGAAAGTTTGAACAGCGTTAAGGTATTTTCAGCTTTATTTCATTATTTTTTCCATGAAAAAAATTAATGGTTTCACAGGTTCCCTTGGCTCCGCTGGTTCCACAAGTCTCGCTGATTCCGATCTGCTGATCCATAGTTTAGTAACATCCCCTAGCATGGGAGGTGCTTAGCGCACTTAATTGAAACCCTCTGTAAGATTATTAATAATTTCTATGCAAAAAAAGATAAAAAAAAGAGCACAATGAAAACCTTTATAGCTACACCCCACGACTAGTAAATGTATTTTCATCACAGAAGTGATTATAGATGATTTTCTTGAAAGTTCGAGTAATATTAGCCTGAAGACACCTTTCGGAATATACACACATTAGAAAAAATAGAGAGTTACTTGAAAAAACTGGAAAAATATTTGAAATTTTCTTAGTTTGACGCCATTATCAAAATCACTTGAAATTGATTTGGCTTCAGCAGCCAATCACTTTCGGAAAAAACTACAACAAAATCTACCTCGCTTGACTACTTAACCAAACAACTTTCGCTGGAAAAGGTCACTAAAGTTTGTTAATTACTAAGGTTCTAAGTAGTCCTTTTACCAGAAAGCTCGCGTAATCTTAGCCAAAAGAGACCTTTCGGAATATACACATAAGAAAAAATGTAGAGTTGCTCGAAAAAACTGGATAATATTTGAAATTTTCTTGCTTTAACTTCATTATAAAATCACTTGAAATTAATTTGGCCTCAGTGACCAATCGCTTTCGAAAAAAACTCGAAAATCTACTTCGCTTGACTACTTAACTAACAACTTTCGCCGGAAAAGTAGGTCACGGAAGGTTTTTTAAAAGTTCATTATAAACTTTCCTTTTCTAGATCATTAGACATAGATGTCGATGATTCCTTTTCTTAGAAGTGTTATTCTGTGGGTATCAGTCTTGTCGTTTACAGACGGCGTCCTCCTACTACATATAACCAACTGGCATTTACGGGCATTGTAAATCCAACGCATTCGGATGAAGAACACCACTTTACACTTGGCACTCAGGCTCTGCAGACGACACAGGAAAATTTCCAAAGTCAAATGTCACGTTTTCGCCAATCAGTAGAAACGGAGACCATTGAGTGACTTTGACAAAGCCGTTGCTTCTTATCCACTTCCGAGTCCTGTGGAGAGATTTACTGACACTTTCCCCGCGGTACAAATGTTCGTAGAAGTGGATCATGAACTGCTCGGTGGCTTCGTCCTCAAGGGCCCACCGTGCCGCTAGCACCGAGCGAGCACCGGATCCAAAAAAAAGGCTCGAGCAATTCCAATAACTCCCTCGGTTTTAATCTCTTCACAAGCGCTGTGACAACAGCTTAGAACCACCAGTTTTGCTCGCAGCTGAATTAGTGAAATTTCCCTCATTGCCAAAAGGTAGCTTTCTTCTCGAGGAGGAACACAGCTGTTTGCACTCTTGGGTGAAAGAAAAATCTCCCCTCGTTCGTCAGAGCCATTGGCAGCCAAATGAATTAAGCTCGCAGAAGTTATTGCATGAAGAACAGCCTGCTTTGTTGCGTGCTCTCCAACCAAAGGTGTCACGCCAAAGAGTTCTACAATCATATCTGCCTCCCTTTTTGCGCATGGCAATGGACTTGGGTCCTTGCGTCTATCTTTGTACAATACAACGCCAACCTTAGGGTCACCCAATATCAGTGCCCCAGTCTGGCTGTGATAGTCTGGAGGACTGTCCTGGATAACCTTGAGGGTTGTCAAAGAGGGAACGGTGCAGATCCTTTTTGTCTCGGATAAGCATTTACCTTCTTGATCAGTTAAGGCTGCAAATGGAACTTGGTACATACAGGGATCAAGAACAATTATGATCTCGGGCTCCTTCAGTAGATGGACTACGGGAGAAATGATAATCTTGTAGCACAAGAGAAGTTTCGTTGAAGTTATGTCTTTGGTAGGGTCGGAAAAACTCATTCAAGTCAGGTACTAATCCGGTCAACACGTTTTTGTCCAGGCTCACTTCCTCTTTTGAGAGAGCATCGTGTGGCTTCCAGTGTCACAAAGCAATATACTGAGCAACTTGTAGGGGAAAGTGCCATGCCTTTCTAATAGAGATATTTTGAACCGATCGCTGTCCTTCAGAAAACCACGCAAAGTTTCGATTTTTTCGATGCACTGATAAAGATACGAAAAGGCTTCTTTTAGATCAGATTTTGATAACTTCAACTGTGTTAACGCAAGAAGAAACTGATACTCTTCCAAGTCAAGCCCAATCTCCCTGCTCAATAAGAGTGCCTTTTGAAAGTAATCTTCAGCCACGTCATATTTACGGAGTGAATGAAAACATTGTGCTAAATGTGCGTAAGAGATTGCTTCTCGACGATTGTGGCCAATTTCACAGAAGATTGTAAGGGATTTCTTGAATCAGATACAATGAAATATATGAAGTTCATATATTTTGAACTGCGGTATTAGATACATATGGTGAACGATCCTCGCAGTAGATAGCGCTATTTAAGCAATAGCGAAAATCAGACCTGAAAAAAATCAGGCCTGTACGGGACTCGAACCACTGACCTCTGCGATACTAGTGCAGCGCTCTACCAATTGAGCTAACAAGCCAACTGGGAGCAGGCCGTTAAGTTGATTCGTAATAAACCCGTGAAAGTGATAAATCAGATACAATGAAATATATGAAGTTCATATATTTTGAACTGCGGTATTAGATACATATGGTGAACGATCCTCGCAGTAGATAGCGCTATTTAAGCAATAGCGAAAATCAGACCTGAAAAAAATCAGGCCTGTACGGGA